AGTTAAAGCAATTTGGTGGTAAATAAGGAATTCAAGGTGTATGACTCTAGTTTACCTTGATGATATATTAATTTTGTCATCTTCCGTTCATCAAGCACTCAGAGATACTCAGACCACATTACAATCCCTACAACTACACAGGTTCCCAATCAATTGGAAAAAGAGTCAATTAACACCATCGACTCGATTAATCCATCTGGGGCAATCATAGATACAGTGGAAGGCAAAGTTTTCCTGTCACCGGATAGACAAAACAGCACCCATCAATTAGTTAAGGAGATCAGAGTTCAAAAAAGGGTATCCCTAGCTGACCTATCAAAATTGTTAGGCAAGATGATCTCATGTATATCTATTATTCCTTGGGCCCGCCTTCACACTAGATCCCTCCAGTGGTTGCTGCTCCCGTACCAGCGATCCGGCTGAAGCAACTCCAAATACAAGTCAAGGTTCCATCAAGGTTCCATCATATCTCTCCACTGGTGGACCAGATCAGTCATAAACAGAGGTTGTCTCTTCAAAGAGTTCCACAGACTTACCATCACCACCGATGCCAGCCTGTTTGGATGGGGAGCTCACTTTCAATCGCTCACAGCCCAAGGTTGCTGGTCCTCCATAGAACAGTCGTGCAGCATAAACTGGCTGGAGCTTCGAGCAGTACACCTGGCTCTCTATAGCTTCCTTCCACAGATATGCAATCAATACATACTAATGTTGACCGACAACGTAACAGCAAAAGCTCACATAAACAAACGGGGGGGGGCACACAGTCGAAACACCTCATTCGTGAAACGGAGCACTTTTGTCGTTGGGCGGAGAGCAACCTACTTTCCATCAGAGCAGAGCACATTTCGGGACTGTCGAATACACAGGCAGACTGGCTAAGCAGGGCCATGATCGATCAATCAGAGTGGCACCTCCATCTGACCCTGTTTCAAGAGGCGGTCAGGACATTTGGACAGCCGGTGGTAGACCTGTTCGCTTCCCCCTTCAATGCTCAGCTTCCAAGATTTTTTGCCAGGTACCCCTCGCAAGGAGCAGAGAACTTCAATGCGCTCTGCGGCCGATGGCCTCTGGGACTTCTGTACGCATTCCCGCCACTTCCACTGCTTCCCAAGGTCATCCAGAAGCTGCTACACAAGAGGGCGGAGCTGCTTCTAGTAGCTCCTTACTGGCACAGACGGCCATGGTTTGCAGACCTCCATAGTCTATCTGTATCAGCACCATGGAGAATTCCACCAGACAGGGTCTTGCTAACCCAGGGACCCCTTCAACATCCGGACCCTCAATGGTTGCACCTGACTGTCTGGAGGTTGAGTGGAGACGTCTGAAGAGTGAAAAGTTTCCAACAGAGTTATTGTCACCATCCAAGCCGCCAGACGCCCCTCAACAACTTGCATTTACAATGCCACGTGGTCCAGTTTCTGCAAATGGTGTACCAAGTCTCAAATTGATCCCATCTCTCCATCTGTGGCTCAAATCCTAGAGTTCTTACAAGAGGGGCTTGACAAGGGAGTATCACCTAATATGTTGAAAAGACAGGTGGCGGCCTTGGCGTCAGTTATCACTTGTGAAGGTCTATTATCTCTTTCCCATCACCCTCGCATACGGAGTTTCCTTTGAGGAGCCACAAATTTACGCCTGCCAGTGGTTCACCTCTATCCCACCTGGGACCTTAACAAGGTCCTTCTTGCACTCACTAAGTGCCCTTTCGAACCCTTGAAATCGTCAAGTCTTCAATTTCTGACATATAAAGTGGTTTTCCTCGTAGCGATCACTTCCGCTCATCATATTTCAGAATTTGCAGCTTTGTCGATCAGACAAGATCTTTATGTCTTCCATTCTGACCGGGTGGTCGTTCGTCCTGATCCTACGTTTATACCCAAAATTAACTCGGCTTTTCACAGGGTACAAGAGCTGATACTTCCTAATTTTTGTCCCAGACCATCCCAAGGGTTGGAACTACAATGGCATTGGCTGATGTGAGGCGAGCATTGCGAATATATATTCACTGCACAGCGACTTTCAGAAAAACGGAAGCCTTATTTGTGTCATTTCAGCCCAACACTCATGGATGCAAGGTCTCATCTTCTACAATAGGCCATTGGCTATGGGCCGCGATAGCGAAAACGTATCAGACTCAATCACTACAGGTGCCCAGGGGCATAACAGTTCATTCAACAAGGAGCGCCGCAACATCAGCAGCATGGGCCACACAGGCACCAATAACTGAAATTTGTCGAGCAGCAACCTCCATCGCCCTTCATTAGGCATTGTAAAATAGATGCTTTTGCTTCCGCTGAGGCCTCCTTTGGCAGAAGAGTTCTGCAACGGATCCACAGGGACCAGGAGGGGATTCCAAGCCAGACGGAGTCCCTCCTGTAGGACAGGCCAAGCTTTGGTATGTCCCACTACTGGATGCTCTGAACAGTTCATGGGAGAAAGGGGATTGGTACTTACCTGACATGCCGGTTCTCTTTGAGCTGTGAAGAGCATCCAGCCCCACCCTTTTTCTATCTGGTGGGGTCCTGTTTTGGCCAACGAATTGTTAGGGCATTGAGGACGAGGGTGTTTATTTATCTCGTCTTCGCCAAAACTGGGGAATGCTGGGGAGCAGTCCCGTGGAGGAGGAGGAGCGTTCCACAAATTAAGCCCAGCCTAGACATGCAGAGACTGAAGCACCTCCCACTACTAGATGCTCTTCACAGCTCAAAGACAATGGGCGTGTCAGGTTAAGTACCAACACCCTTTTTCAGAAAAAGAACATATATCAGATATGCTTCTTAAAATGGGCTGAGCAAGCTGTTTCAGAGAATTACTCCCTTGCTTGACAAATAGTCTTATGAAAAGGAACTTCTCTCTATTTGCTGGCTGGGTAGCAGGCTGGAAGACAGTACATAATCCTCACCTGACTGCTTAAGTTGTCCGAGTGGTGCCTATATTAATCAGCCGTATGTGATTATTGGCTTGGTATCTCCTGAGACTGACATTCCACAGGTTTAGCTGGAGTAGCTTCTTCAAATTCAGAATCAGAATCTGAGTCCTGAGCCTGAGTCATGTCAGAGAAAGAAAACTAAAAACAATATATTAAATGTGGATCTCCTATCAAGAATCAACCAATTAAAAATGAATAAAGGAAAGAGAAGAGAAGAGAAATATTAGGAGGAAAAAGATAAAAGGATAAAATCAGAGATAGAGGGACAATATGAAAATGAAACAGCAAGCAAATTTTAAACATTATAGCAATGATTACAGAATGGGCCCCAAGTACAGTAAACCCTCATTTGTTTGAACTCCTTGAGCCTGAGCCTGGCATATATAATAGTTTACAGTGCAAAGTTTCTTGCCAAGTCTGTGCTGAATGGATATATTTTGTGTGAAAGATCTCCCAATTTGTCTGACATAGCACCATGATTCTGAATGTTTATTGTTTGTGAGATTTTATTTTAATTAAAAACTCATCCTAAACCAGAATGGGCTTGTTAGCAATAAAAACACATGATGCTGATCACTTGCAGATGTGTTGCAGATTGGGACATAGTAAATGAGACATTACCACTTTATTTCTAGAGTATGGCATGTTGTTTCCCCAAATGTTAAGAAAACTTTTAATAAACTGAAATTATACTACAATATATAGTCAGTGAAGGCAATCTGAAAAATATCAGGTACCACTGTAGAATTAAAATTGGTAGAGGGAAAGGCCTTATCCATGCAGAAAGATATGAGGAAAGTAGAAGTAGAATCTAAATTGGGTAACACATCTATTTTTGAGCAAAATATTTCAGTATACAACTTGTGTAGATATTAAATAACTTGCTATAAACTAGGGGTCCGCAGACCCCAGTCCATGGCCCAGTGCCAGTCCATGGCCTGTTGGGAACAGGATCGTGCAACTGGCATGTAAACGTACAAAGCTGCATTTGCACAAACGGCACACATGCAGAAGCATCCCTTCCTCCCTCCCCCTGCCACTGCTGGTCTGCAGAGCCAGAAAGGTTGGGGACCACTGCTATAAGCAATCATGAGAATGGAGTGGAATATTTTATGCTTTGCTTTAATGAAAATGTCTACCTAATGAGAAATGAGTAGACCCTTTCTATAGATGTTGATGCTCAAGGTGTGGAAGTTTACTGAAGCAGTGTAAAAACAAAACATATAATATTTTGAATAGGTACTGATCATGGTGATCCAGTTCTTTTTTCTGATTGAGAATGCACATGTAAAAAAAAGTAGGACAGTCATTTTAATCTGGATTTCTTCCTGTTGGAATTAAAAGGACGTGTAGCCTTCACTATATGAAGCAATCTGGATTGGGGGAAATTGCTGTGGAACTTGCAGTCTAAGATAATAGTGAGAACATTATTTTTTCAAGGGGTATAACACTTAATGCAGAGGTGTCTAATCTTTTGGCTTGCCTGGGCTACATATGGAGTGAAGAGGAATTGGGTTGAGCTGCATATAAAATATATAATATAGTTAATGTATATAAATCATATAATAATGTTAAAAGTTTATGATCTTATGAGCCTGATTACTAGCTGCCCAGGGAGGTATGTGGTCCATGGTCTGTGGGTTGGACTTGCTTGGCTTAATGTTTCTTATCTGAATTAATGAGAAACCTTGAAATTATATTGTGTTTTAAGTTTTAGGGACATATCACATGATATATTAATCCATTGCAAATACTGCCATCTTTAGTTTTCTACTAGGTTGTAGACAAATGCTGGACAATGGGGATTATTATCCTTGGAGAGATGAGATTTAATCTTTCTATGTTTATATTGAATAAAATATGTTGAATAATTTAAATTATAACAAAGGAATTTTCTTAGATACTTGTCAAATTAAAATTTTTTGGTAAGGAATCAGAAATCAGGAAATTAGTAACTATTAATAAAGTGCTCTTATGAAGATACATCACAATTATGAATGATAATATATATGGGCATTCTTATTTTCCAATTAGTAATAAAACTTATTAAGACATTTTATTTTTTTAGGTTGGTACAGAGGTTATACTTTGAGGAAAAAATCAAAAAAAGTAAGTATTTTGTTTCTGTATTAATGACATCACTTTTTTAAAAAAAGCATAGGCATTTATAGTAATCTTCAAAATGTTTTAGTATAGTTGGAAACTTAGATTAAAGCAGAACAGTTGATGAAATACAACTTTTAATCGGCTAATGCTAGTTCAATATTACTTTTTTTTCAAACAAATAACATGAATTTGTTGTACTTAGTTCTTGTAAAGTAATAGATAAATCCATTATATTTTACCTCTCTCTTCAAAAACAAACAAGATTGATTACTAGCCTTTATTTCTATCTATGTTTTGCTTTAAAAATAATTTGGAATTCTGGGTTTCAATGTGAATGAACGTGTTTAATTGAAATGTCTTCCGTCTTAAATTAGATAATTATTAAAATATATTAGAAAATAACTTATTGTTTATAAGATTAAGGAGAGTTTATGGAATGAAGGCTTGTCAATGTGATACAGTATAAGCTGAATAAAAATTCAGTGTTAGACTGCATCAGTTTAACAGTAGGTAACCTAAAGTGGAAATAAAAATTCCAAACTCTTTCCCTACATACATAGCAGAAGGAAAGTTGATGGAGTAGAATACAAGGTTTGTTTGGGCTCGTTGTTTAGGACTACTGCAATTTTTTGGGAGCTAAACTTCTGAAATTATTATCAATGAAACATTCTTTACAATTATGACCAAAGTCTCAGTAAGGTTGTTGGTTTTTTTAAAAAGAAAATCTTATTGAATATATTTCATAGATATTTCAGATTATATTTCTTATTATTTGGGCCAATTGTTCTGGTAGTATTTATATTCTACAATGACTCACTAGAAAAAGATTATAATTAAAAACTCTACTGGGCATATGGTAAATAAATAGTAAAAAAAATATTTTTCTTATTTAAAGGGCATTTTTCCTGCTTCCTATATACAACTTAAAGAAGCAATAGTTGAAGGAAAAGGGTAAGTTGGGGGCTTAAAAATAATGATGAAAATATCAATTTTATGATTTTTAATACATTTTGAATATAAATATGAGTGCACAGAAAAATGAAGTCTGAAATTTATGTTCTAATTATGAATACTATAATATTATAACCCAATGACAAGAAGAATAATGAGAGACACTTACAGTTTGATTTGCATTTTTCTCTTATGTTTTGTTATAAAATATTAAGATACTTTAGTTGAGTAAACCATCAGTCTGAAAGTTTAATTTCCCTAGTTGATATTTCCTGAAAATCTATGTACAACACATGCCAATGTTTATGAGATTGTCTTTATTTATTTACATGGGCAGTTTTGGGAAACAGAAACAAGTTTTCCAAGCAGAATGATTTCTTCCGATTAAAAATAATATTTGCTTCAAACTGTATTGGTTTACAGTACACCATGACTACACAACTTATAGAGGGGAAAGGGACACATTGATAAATTATCATGGGACACAAAGGAATATTTGAGGGTACTAATCAATGTTTTGGTGGCTAGTAGAGCAGGAGGACTGGAAGTTATGGCATTGGTGTGGCCCTGGAGGCTTTGGAAATGCCTTGGTGGCGTGTCTTTCTGGGTGGAGGCAAATCTTTTCCTGCCCCAACTATATTTGGAGCAGTGGATTAATTTATTTACGCACAAGGGGCTTGGCAGGCCCATGGGCCTTGAGTGCTTTCCTGGCCTGATTTAGACAATGGAATAGGGAAGAATTCTAAAGAAACATCACAACAAGAATTTATTTATTTATTTATTTATTTCCTGAATTTATTGATTTTACAAATAATTCAAGGCGGCAAACATATCCAACACATTTTCCTCCTTCTGTTGTCTCTACAACAGCAACCTTGTGAGGTGGGTTGGGCTGAGAGAGAATGACTGGCTCAAAGTCACCCAGCTGGCTTTCATGCCTAAGTCGGGACTTGAACACATGTTCTCCTGATTTCTAGCCTGATGCCTTAAACACTAAATAAAATAAAAAGTCAATGAGCATAGGCTTCTCTCAGGGCTGTGTACTCTTTCTATTGCTTTTCCCTCTCTACACCGATGACTGCATCTCTGAGGATCCCTCTGGTAAAATTGATGTTTGCAGATGATACAACAGTAATTGGTCTCACTGAGATGGTGATGAGTCTGCATGTGAATGGGAGTTGAATAACTGGCCCTCTGATGCAGCCAGAAGAACATGCTTGAAACTGTAGAGATGAGAGGGGATTTTAGGAAGACCCCCTCCTATTCTACTGCCTCTTACTACATTTCACAGCACAGTATCAGCAGTAAAATCCTTCAAATTTCTGGGTTCTATAATCTCCCAGGATTTCAAATGGGGACCTAATTAAAACCATCACTAAAAAAGCATAACAAAGAATGTTCTTTCAGTATCAACTTAGGAAGTTCAGACTTCCCCAGGAGCTATTGATACAATTCTGCAGAGGAATTATCTATACTGTCGTCTGTACTAAGATAACTGTATGGGTTTGGTACAGCAACTAAACAGGACAGGTACAGACTCCAGCAGATAGTTAGAACTGCAGAAAAAACCATTGCAGTCAGCCTGCCTTCCATTGAAGAGCTGTATATTGCATGGGTCAGATGTTGGGCTGTGAAAATATCTACAGACCACTCACATCATGGATATAAACTGTTTCAACTCTTTTCCTCAGGATGCCACTATAGGGCACTGCATGCTAAAACATCTAGACACAGGATAGTTTTTTCCCTTTGCCATCACTCTCCTGAACACTTAATCCTCACAGTATTGTTTTATGTCTAAGTATATTTAGCTATGTTGTACGGCTGTAATATTACTATCCTTTTCATCTTCTCTACTACCCGCTACTAATATACTAATTGTATACAGTTCTAGTAATGCATTATTTGAGTGAAAATTTGCAGAGGCAAAGTGATAGAATCTTGCAAAATAAGTTCCTTTACCTTTAAAACTACAAAGGATTTTGTTCAGCATTTGGGACTGAGCCAAGTCCTTTACAACGCTAAAATGTTTAGAAGGAATATGCAGAATGTTCTAAGCTCAGAACATTTTGAGATTGAAATGCCTGGAGTGGAGTAGGTATTGAGTTCAAAATGTTGGTATTCAAAGAATTTTTTTCTTGCCTTGAAATAAAACCCACTGCTTTGAGTTTGGGACTAAACCATTTTTAACTCAACTTTCACATTCTGTTTTGTTCTTTGTTTCTTAAGTTGTGATTGACTTTGTTTTCCATTCCCCCCTTCCCCTCCCCTTCTCCTTTGCTACAACAGATATAGGCTCCTATCTGCAACTGTTGGATAAGACTAATTGAAAGCAGAAGGGAATGACAGCAATAGCAGCAATTATTTAAGCATTTGCTCAGAAGGAGTTATGTTGCTTTTGGCTTCCATTTGTTGATATGCCTAGGCCACTTAATCAGTGTCTTTCTTATAATTATAGACAATATTGGACAAATGATCCTAAGCATGAAAACTGATAAAAAGTGGTCTCACTTGTCTGATTGTCTTGTAGTTTTACAGATTATAAGGTGTTAAATAGACAGGCTGTGTTACTTTAATTTGTTAAAAGCTACCAAATTAAGAAGTGTACATTGTACTTATGCATTAGGAAGAAAATGTGGTGGTGGTGGTGGTTTGTAGGCTGTGAAAAAGTGAATCCACAAGATATCATTTTTTTTATTGGAATTCAGTGGTGGATTGTATAAGAAGAGTAGAAAGAATGTACTTGGAATTATATTTTCATTACTTTTGTCAGTGTTTTTTTAAATAATTGTCAATAATAATAATAATAATAACAACAACAACAACAACAACAACAACAACAACAACAACAACTGTGGGACTTCCGAATACAGACTGACAAAGTTTTGGAACACAATACCCTGGATATCACGATTGTGGAGAAGAAAAAAGTGTGGATCGTCAACCTGATGACAGCAGAATCGATGAGAAACAACTTGAAAAAGTCACCAGATATTAGGACTTGACAACTGAACTGCAGAGACTCTGACATAAACCAGTGCAGGTGGTTCCATTGGTAATCGGCACACTGGGTGCTGTGCCTAAAGGCTTAGGCAAGCACTTAAAAACAATTGGCAGTGACAAGATCACCATTGGTCAGCTGCAGAAGGCCATCTTACTGGGATCTGCTCGCATAATCCGCCGATACATCACACAGTCCTAAACACTTGGGAAGTGTTCGACTAGTGATTTGTGATACGAAACTCAGCATGGTTATCTCATTTGCTGTGTATATGTCATTTTTGTGTAGTAGAATAATAATAATAATAATAATAATAATAATAATAATAATAATAATAATAACAACAACCACCACAACATGGATAATTTTTCTTTAGGTTACATCATACAGAATCCTCAGCATAGAATACCACCAAACTAATTGAATAGTTTTGGAGAAAAATGAGGGAGCAAAAAGTTTGTTTCAGTTCTCCCTATGGGACAACAATTTTGAGATTTTTATTCCATATGGAATTAAAACAACACAGAAGCCTTTATTTTTTGGAGATTTAACTTACTGCAATGCTAATGTTTTTTTTAAAGCCCTATTTCATGCAGTTTTAATATTTATATTATAGCGAATAATACCAAAAAATATATCTTACTTATTAAGAGTTTAAACATTGGAAGCATATTTGTTGCAAACCATGTTTATGAATTGTTAAGTAAAAATAATCCAGAATACTATAAATGATGTATTTTAAATACATTTAATATATTGATAATTAATACATTGTTTTCTGTTTTCTGTTTGCCCTCCTTCCACTCTTGGTATTCCCATATTCTTAGACAACATGAAACTGTTATACCAAGTGAACTACCACTTATTCAGGAGGTTACCAGTACACTACGGGAATGGTCCACAATATGGCGACAACTTTATATTGTAAGTATTGTAGGTTTATTTAGAATGCCTCTTTGTAGGATAACCAAGGAGCTTAATCTATAAACCAGCCAAGCTAAAGAAACCAATTAAGTACATGCCAGTGATTTGAAATAATTGCTGAAGAAAAGGAATATGCTTTGCATATTAACTTTCCCAAGTAGAAACTCTTTTATTCCCCATTAAAAAGACAATCTGTACTGCAATCAGGCCTGTAAATCACAACTATTCAAAACTGACTACTGTCCCACAGTTGTACTAGATGAAAATTATCTGTGGATTGTCTCTAGATAAGGAAGTTTAATTTACTTGAAGAATTGAACTACTGGACAGAGTAGGAGAAGTCACCATCTTCTGGGTCATCCTGGTTCATTATTAAACAGTTCTTACCCTTAACAATTTTTTTCTTGATGTCCAGTTGAAATCTACTTTCATGGAATTTAAATTCTTTGTTTCATCTTCTGGAACAACTCTGAACAATTTACCCTTGCCTTTTATGTGACAGATTTACAAATACTTGAATATAGGTATTATGAATCCCCATAGTCTTTTTTTCCCGTGCTAAGCATATTCAAAACTTTCAGTCATTTCTCTTTTTTTTTCCCTGCCAAACTTTATTACTTTGGTTGGTGCCTTCTGGACATACCTATATATCTCAATGTCCTTCCTAAAGTGTAGTGTCTAGAACAGGACACAATATTTTCAGGACATTCTGATCAATACAGAATATAGAGAAATAGAGAGGGAATTATAGTAGATTAAAAAGACCTGAGGTTAATGTGTGAATTTAATTCTGTAACTTGTGTTAATGTCTAAAATACCAAGAGGACAAAGGTATCCGATATAGCCAAGGCATAAAATAGCTGCTTAGTTTTATGCTGTGATGTGTATCATCTATATATGACTTGGAAGGCATTTCACTATTAATAATTAATTATATAACCTAGATTTGCTTAGACTGACAGTCAACGAATATTAGGTCTTACATCAGACAGCCCAGCTAATTGTAACAGAATTCCAACTCTCAGTGAACGCTTATTCTGTCTGGTTCTATTGTGAGGGATGGATGTCCTTGGTAAGAATTGATCCCTTTGGACCAATTAATCCACCACTGTCAGATAACTATATTTTTATGCTATTTAAATCCATACTGCTGATTTTCATTTTATTGCAGTTAATTCTGCAACTTCGTGTGTATGTAAATTAGCTGGTCCAGCTGAGGATTTTTTGATCAGACTAAGATAATAATTTTGTCATTTCTAATTTCATGAAGACTGTTGCAAGCCTGTATGTTAAATATCTTGCTAAGATGTCATCCCTTGCAGAAGAAAAACAAGTTAAAAGTTTATAAAAATAAATGAGGAATGTAGAATAAAAAAGTCACAGCTTCTTAAGTAACTCATTTAAAATTCCTTCTCATGATAGAATGCAATACTTGAACTAAATCTATCCTGAAGACTTAATTCAAAATGTTCATTTATAGGTTTCTAGCAAATGAATAGTTTTAATTTTTACTTGACTACTGATTCTTGGATTACAGATGAGTTATTTGTGGTTGATCACATGTAATATTTCCCCATCTGAGGGAATATAAATGGTTTGGGATAAGAAGTAATGACCTACAAGGTTAAATAATAAATTTCACACTGAAGTTATAGAAACCTGCTTCCGTACTCATCTTTTACTTCTGTTTTATATTGTTTACATTTGTATATTTCTACATGAAGAAAGGAGATGAGAGAACTAACATGTATTCTTATCACATAGCAAGACCACAGAGAAATGTTCCGTAATGTAAGACATATGATATATGATCTTATTGAATGGCGATCACAAATATTGTCTGGAACACTTCCCCAAGATGAGCTCAAAGAGCTAAAGAAGAAAGTCACAGCAAAGATTGATTATGGAAACAGGTTGGTGATGACTACCTTGAAACATGCATATATTTCCTTGTTTTTATTTTTGTTTTTTGCTTTGATGATCTTCCATGTTTCTGTTTATGTACTATATATGTCCATTAAAACATTTATACGGTAATATAAATATTATTTATAAAATCAAAGTAGCCTCTTTCTTGATTGCTTAGAGAAAGTGTTTTAAGATACAATTTTCCAAATGTATTTTTGTTCCATGCAGAACTTGGCGAAAATAATGTATACATTTTATTTATTACTTGTGTATCCAAAATTGCGGTCAATTCAAGAGTATAGCTATGCAAGGAGTTTTGATCTAAGTCATATGTGCTAAGATAATATGCACATAACTAAATAAGTTCAGATCCCTAGGTTTAATAATAAACTATCATTGGCATTTAGATAAGATAGCTCTAAATAGATTTCATCAATGCTTGAAAAGTAATAAAATCTATTAACTTTAACTGACCAATTTGCAAAAAAAGATTTTAATCATTTTCAGGACAACCCATGTCAAGTTAAAAGATCATAATACAAATTCTACAATAAACTTAATCACCTGCTTGGCAGTCAGTTGTTCCAACATCTATAAATAATTTCCAGGTATAAATGGACATATGGGTAGGCTAAACAATATGTCACAATCAGACGACAGATTTTCTCAACATGTCTACGTATGTACAGTATGCATGGATGTCTCTAGACACACAAACACACAAAAAACAGTATAATATATGCTATTCTTCTGGCTGCTTGGGAGAAAAGTAAATTGTTTCACATAGCCAAATTTGGAAACTTTGGAAATAGCAGTGGTTTTCAGAATGTGATAATGATCATTGAGCATGTTTCCTTCAAAAGAAGCCTCTTTCCTTTCTTTACCGCTAGATTTTCCATAGTTGCACTCAAATAAATGAGATTTTAAGATACATTTGAGATGAGCGTTTGAATTTGAAAGAGGACCTGATCTGGGGTGCTCACATTGCAGCACTGGTCAAAAGGGCCCAGCAGAGATTATACTACTTGAGACTTCTCAGAAAACAACAACTAAATAGAAAACTGCTGGTGACCTTCTGCCGCTGCACCATAGAGAGTATTTTAACTTACTGCATCTCTATATGGTTTGCCAATTGCACAGTGGAGATAGGAAAGCACTCCAGAGGGTTAACGTCATTGCCCAGAAGATCATTGGTTGCCGTCTCCCCTCTTTGGAAGAGCTTTATAGCTTCCGCTGCCTTTTGAATGTTCAAAACACTCTCAAAAATCCATCTCATCCTGGGAATCCTTTTGAACTATTACCATCTGGCAGATGGTACAGAATAATAAAAACAAGGACAAATAGGCTAAAGAAACAGCTTCTATCCCAAGGCAGTAGCTCTTTTGAATTCTGCTGTATAGTGCAGTATTGGTGTGGTGTCGGGGGTTTTCGGCTCAATGTGTGGAGGGTGAAGGATGTCTGTTTGTGTTTATTTTCATGGTCATGGTCATGATGTGCACTGAAGATGGTGTTTGATTTCGTTGTACGAGGTGCAGTGAAAATAAAGTAAACTAAACTAATTTATCTTAGGCAACATTAAGATTCAGCAGGCCTACTCAATATCTTGCATGAACTACATTTTTACATGCTTTTAGAGGTCTTTGACTGTATTTTCTGTGAGGATTGGAAAAGTTTTTATTGTGAGGGGAAAAAATAATGTAGAAGGACTTACCTTAAGACAAAGAAATTGAAGTAGAATCTAAGTATTTTAAACATTTTGCTTTATAATGAGCACATGAAAAGTGTGGAGAGTACCAGAAACTGCTTTGTTTGTGTTTGTTTATTTATTTATTTGGTTTTTGGAGATCAGTGGAAATTGTTGTCTTTCTGTTTTCCATCCCAGAAATGATTATAAAAAATTCTACTAACACCAGTATATTGTAGAATATTTACAGTCAAAGATTCAGTCTTTTCTTTTTCATACAATTCACCAGAAGTTGTCAGTATTATTTGTTGGCTATATTATTTAGCCATCTGGATGAGGAACTAGCTATTCAACTTCCAGGTGCTAAACGTTGAAACATTACATGTATCTTTTCTTCATTATTGTTTTGATGGAATAATTAAATGATTACTATGTATTTTACTATGTATTTTAGAATTGAGACATCTGAGTTTGAATTTCTGTGCATATTACGTACCATAAAATACTGCCATTCTTGTTTAGTGCAAATATGCATTAATGCTTTCCCGTAATGAATCTAACATGACAATTTCAGTTTGGCTATTTCTAGACATAAAAATTTATAATGTCTTTAGTAAATGCTATGTGAAAATACAGACTAGTCTTTCCCTCTCCTGTTCTTTTTCAGAAATATTGTAAAAGCAATTTTTAAAAATACAGGTAGTCTTTGGCTTACTACAGTTCATTTAATAACTGTTCAAAGTTATAACAGCACTGAAAAAAGTGACCAAGACTGTTCTTCATACTTATGACCGCTGCCACATCCCCATGGTCAAGTGAACAAGATTTAGACACTTGACAACTGATTCATATTTATGATGGTTGCAGTGTTTTGGGGTCATGTGATCCCCTTCTGACAAGCAAAATCAATGAGGAACCAGATTCACTTAACAGTCATGTCACTAACTTAACAATTGCAGTGATTCGCTTAACAACTGTGGCAAAAGTTGTAAAATGGGGCAAAATTCACTTAACAAATGTCTTACTTAGCAACAAAAATTTTGGGCCATTTGTGGTCATATGTCAAGGACTGCCTGTATTGTTTTCAGTAGTTTATGTATATTATACTAAAAGACAGATAATAAATTTGCTCAGTCTGAGTTTCAAAAAGTATTGTTTTATTTTGTCTGATGGAAGAGTACTAAAAAGGACCTTTGATCACTCTTCCTCCTACTCCAAATTTAATATTACATTTTAAAACTATTTGGATTGCAGGCAGAGGGACTTGATGGCAGTTTTTGAGCAAATTTTATGTTAACCATGGTATTGTTTTGGGTGTTTTCCATTTCATACAGAATTCTCGATTTGGATCTAGTGGTAAGGGATGACGATGGTAACATATTAGATCCAGATCAAACCAGCACAATTAGCCTATTCAGAGCTCATGAAACAACTTCCAAACAAGTAGAAGAAAGACTGCTGGAAGAAAAAGTGAGATACAAAATTATTTCTCCCAACTGATATTATGATAGTATAAGTGACTGTAAACTATGAATATGCATAGGTGTGTGCATGCACATGTCTTTTCATATACATATATATAAACTAAAAGAAACATTTTTCTTTTGAAACCAAGTCAAGCAATTGTGTTCTGGAGGTTTCACAAAACCGAGTCAGCCATTTTTTGGCAGAACTGGAAATTACAGGTAGTCCTCAATTCATGACTGTTTGCTTAACAATTGTTCAATGTTACAATGGCCTTGGAAAGGGTGCAAAATGTCTCATACATACACTGTCGTGTGATTGTAATCTGGACACTTGGCAACCCATTTGCACATGACTAGTTGCCAAGTGCCCAACAATCACGAGATCACCATTTACAATCTTCCCTGTCGGCTTTCCTGGAAAGTCAACATGTTCTGCTTGGGCCACTACTCTCTGTTCTGTTTAGGAACAGTGGGAATTTGCAGTAATAATTTTGCAAAGGAGCCTCTTCTTGGTCACTCTCAAATTCACTCATACACACACACACACACACACACACACAAATGCATTCTCCCTAACTGCCTAAAACATCTTCTGATCTTCCTGGTACCTCAGTCTGTCTATATTCTAGCATGTTATATCTTATGTTCCCCCCTCCCCTCTTCTCCATGTCCTGCTTTTTCTCAGCCACTTATGGTCTTGGCATTTTCTCTTCTTGTTCTCACCAACCATTTCTGCCCAAAGCAAAACTGCCACATTTTGTTCCGCTCATGGAATCTAGAGACCTGAAATAGGCACAATTTGGTTATGTCTTAGATCACGAGTCCCCAACCTCTGGGCAGTGGACCAGTACTGGGCCATGGCCTATTGGGAACCAAGCAGTACAAGCAGTGGGAGAGTGAGCAAAGCTTTATCTATCATGCATGAGATCTAGGTTGCATGTGAAAGCATCCCTCCCACCCCAAGTCCGTGGAAAAATTGTCTTCCACAGAACTGATCCCTGGTGCCAGAAAGGTTGGGGACCATTGCCTTAGATCATCTGAAACCAATTTTGCTTTGTAAAAGCTAGCCCATGCACTGAATCTTTTGTATATCTTAACAAAAAAGTTTGGGCATAATGCTCAGTCAAAAATGTTCTTCACATTTTAAAAAATACATTATAATTCACTTTTTCTAGACTTTTTGGGGAATATTATAGGCAGAACCTAAAATTTGCATTCATAAATGAGAAATTCTATGCTTCACCAGGATTTGTGTAGATTTGCAAATATGTAATTAGTCTGTTTATTCAGGCACATAGAAACAGTGAATTGTGCTTTCACTTACATTGAAGGTAGTCCTGCAAAATCTACTCAGTTTATTTTACTTTTTACATTTCCACTTCTCTTAGAACTGTTCTACATTTAACAGAGCAGACATAAATGGAATGAAGGTGACTAGCGATTAGTTAATTATACAATTATACCCCAATCCATATACATTTACAAAAGTAGATTTATGTACTGTAATTGGTTGTATTACTATATAATGATAGTAATTGCAGAGTATTGTATAGTTTTTTTCCTTTTCTTTCTTGGGTTGTAGTCTCAGAAGCAGAATCTTGACATTAGTAGAGAAGCAAAATTTGCTGCAACACCTTCATTTGCATTATTTGTAAATCTGAAAAATGTTGTTTGCAAAATTGGAGAAGATGCTGAAGTCCTTATGTCGTTGTATGATCCTTTGGAATCCAAGTTTATAAGGTCAGTGCTTTAACTGCTCCCATGCTTGCTTTAGAACTTCAAAATATCAAAGGCATAAAACAGATTTTATGTAATATGTATTAACATGGGAAGAACAAAGAAGCTATCTGAGAAACACTGTTGTTAGTCATTGGCCACAAATTGTTTGTGGAAATTTCCTAAACACCATGTCTCTATGAAAGGTTATAGTGTTAATTACCATTTATATAGTTTGTGGTATTATTGGGACCTTCTGGTCCTGTTATGCTATTACTTTTTACAACAACAAGAAGAAAAAGACAGATAACTTCTTGTGGATTTCCCAGTTTGTTTAATATGATATGAGACATTAAAAATAAGTTTTAAAAAGGTTCAGAATTTTTATAATGGATATTCAGTATCCTTTGTTTTTGCATTTCCATATAGTTTCACACAAAAAAATAAAATCCATCAAAAAGTCTTCTATGGATTCTTTTTCTGAAAGAGATGGATATTTTTTCATTCTAGAACAGAATAAGAATGATAATAGTCAACATCACAGGTCTGCTTTGAGATCAGACAGGATGAAAGCTATGAAACAAATGATACATTACAAATATAAAGAATTATTAAAATAGGAATCTGCATTTTAAAAAATTCACATAGTAAGCTGACATATCACTAGAAAATGAATTTGAGAAGACCGTTTTGAATTTATTTTGTTTTAGACATAGCATGTTGCTCATCTCTCTTTGTTGATGCATTATGATGAAAAAAGTGAGCTCTTCCTTGCACTTGATAGCATTTTTATTTGGTAACAATTAGAAGAAAAAACTTACTTTGTCCTTATTACCATTTTTTATTTAGATCTATTTGTGTCTGTCTGTCTGTCTGTCTGTCTGTCTGTCTGTCTATCTATCTATCTATCTATCTATCTATCTATCTATCTATCTATCTATCTACATGTGTGTATATATCTATATATCTATATTTAAAATTTATTTTATATATTTTTACTTTATTAATTGTAAACTACCTAGAGTCATTGGGCAACCTATAAATTGTGCAATAAATAAATCTGGTTTGCATCAAACTCTGAATAACCTTCAGTGTGTTTGTTTAAATATGTTAACATATTTTAATATAAAACTGTTTTTGTTTTCATAATGAATAAGACAGTCAAATTTTATTTTTATTTACATAGTGAGAATTATCTGGTGAGATGGTCAAGTTCTGGTCTACCAAAAGACATAGATAAATTACATAATCTTCGAGCGGTCTTTACGGTAAATATTCTTTTTCTATTTGTGATATTTACATTATCCAGTTGCTTCAATATTTTCCATGTTGTATCAGGATATGTATTTTGTATTCAAAGAGCCTTAGGTTAACTTTTTTTGTTAGCTCTAGAAATGAGAGAGTCCTTTAAATATTATGGAGCTGAGCCTTCCATTCTGGCACTCTAGCATACATTAGAAGAAAGCCAACACTAGAACATTTCAAACACTGTAAGTGGTAGAAATTTTGGGTCCAAATGTATCTGTCCTTAATAAAACTAGATGCTTTGGTAAATCATGACATAAATGACAAAGAGGTAGACAAATGGTTTGATGGTAAAAGAAAGTTTCTATTCCTGCAAGTGTTCTTTCCAATTTCTTTGCATATGTACAATCTTTGGACCTGTGTGGTTTTTCAGGATTGGGAATGTATTTGGAGAAGACTGTCTTAAGCAGATGTGCCTCATAAGTTTTGTTTACTCTTTGTTAATGCATTTTAAATCTACATGGATTTCCCTATGGTGTTATTAAAATAACGTTTCTCCATCCTCTCTCCAAAATAAACAAATTTGAATCCTTTTCACAGTTGGAGAGAAAATAGCCTTTTAATCTAGCAAAATTATTCAAGATTCTACATAACAGCTTTTAAGAGGTCCAAGGAAATATATCCCTTAACTATCTGTATGAACATTTAGCTGTGTATAAAGGATTATAAAAATAAAGAAATGACAGGCTAAATAGTAAAACTTCAGTATGAACTAAAATAGCTGTGTGAGAGAATTTTGTAAGGAAAAAAATTCACATTTGTAGGACCTTGGCAGCAGTAAAGATCGGAAGAGAGAGAAGATTAGTTTTGTGTGTCAGATTGTACGAGTTGGCAGAATGGAACAAAGAGAAAACAACACAAGGAAACTAACTTCTGGGCTACGGCGCCCTTTTGGTGTAGCAGGTAATCCATTCTTATATATAGTACATTGTTGGAATGTTTGTCAATAATTGCAGCTGCTGGGAATTGAAGCGATGTGACATACTATAGTTTTGAAATTAATGTTCAATCTTTTTGTAACATTATATTTTTTGCTATCAACTTATAATAGCAGTTGGGACTGAAATCACTAAGTGACGTGGTTGTAAAGCATCACGGCATCGCTTAGCGATGGCAATCCCTATAGTTCCAGTGGCCATGATTAACTGAATCCCACAGTCGTTAGGTAAGGAAACTTCCTCTTAGCTCACCACAACAAAAGTCAGTGGAGAAGTTGGGAAGAAGTTGCAAGTTCTAGACCTGCAGGTAGTAAAGGGTCGCAAGACCGTGGAAGGAGGGAGGATGTGTCTGAGAATTGCTGCATGGATTGAAGAGAAGATGTGAGGGAGTGTGCAAGTGGTGCTACATGGGCCAGGAAAGTGCAAGGGTATACATAAGAGGTACTGCACAGAGGGTACAAAGGGATCCTAAATGGTGCAAGAGTGACCAGCACAGTGTGAATTGACTTGCTATCCAACAGGGACCTGTAGTAAATGACAATGCGGAGACCAGTTAGCTCGATTCATTTGGCTCAGAAAAAAAACCTACAGTGAAGTAGCTTCTACCCTTTCTCCCAGAAAGAAAACTTTGAGGTAGACTTCAAGGGAACAAAACTGTGGCCTTTGCCATTGGACAAAAGACTGTGGCCAAATCCTCTGTTTCCAAAGTAGAGTGTCATGGTAATGGGGTTTATTCTGGCTCAACGAATTGACCTTTTGTTTAAAGCCGTGGTTCCCAATCTTCCTAATGCTGCGACCCTTTAATACAGTTCCTCATGTTGTGGTGACCCCCCAACCATAAAATTATGGCTCGGTTCCTAAGACCATCGAAAGTATGTGTTTTCCAATGGTCTTAGGCGACCCCTGTGAAAGGGTCGTTCGACCCCCAGGTTGAGAACCACTGGTTTAAAGAATAATAGAAAAGAGGTAAGAACATTTCAAGAGCCCTTGGACAAGTCGCCTGCCTATCTTATGAAACACAAGCATGGTTTTCTTTTCCTGGCTTTGGTTGATTACCATCAACTTTAATGCTTTAAGTTTTAAAAATAATTTTATATCAATTTAGGTAGTTACAGATATGGATGTAGATGTTGATGTGTTCATTGGTTAATGCCAATAAATAGCCAATATTACCTCCAGAAGATTCCACTTGCTTTAGTGATACGAATGAAGCAAGTTTGTCTTTAAATAGAGTAACACTTCTTGATAGAAAATAATTCCAAGCAGTCTGTTATCATCACTGTTTGCCATTATTTTCCATTATAACTTAATCCTTAATGATGCTTGTTTCTCTTTGAATTCAGTGATGGATATAACTGACATAATTAATGGGAAAGTAGATGATGAAGACAAGCAGCACTTCATTCCATTTCAACCGTAAGTGCAAATTAATACAGAAAAGTAATCAGGACTGATATTAGGAAGAGATGGGTTATGATTCTTTGTTAAAAATAAACCCACAAGGTTTTGAAAATGGGAAGAATAAAAAGCTAAATGGACACGACAGTTTTGGAAGAAAAAATGGTTTACTTTGGAACTAACCTAAGTGATTAAACAATCTTTTCCCAAATAATTAAACAGCCAGCTCTGAACGTTTCATGTAAAGCAAAGATAATTTCAGTATTCCTATAGGCACAACCTGCCTGCAGACAAAGTCCTCTAAATTGTGAATACAATTTCTATTGAACTTTGCAGTTCAAAATCTTGACTTGTTAGTTCCATTCTTGGATAAGATTCAGAGATGTGGGTACTGGAATATTAATAGTTTCAAACATGTACATTTTAGAATTAACTGTTTTATTTTGTTTCAATAAAATGAGATCTGTGTGTATAAAATATACACTGCTAAAAATAAATAAAGGGAACACAAAAATAAGACATCCTAGATCTGAATGAATGAAATATTTTTATAACAAATTTTACTTTGTTCATTACATAGTTGAATGTGCTGACAACAAAATCACACAATAATTATCAATGGAAATCAAATTTAGCAACCCATGGAGGTCTGGATTTGGCGTTACACTCAAAATTAAAGCGGAAAAAACACTATAGGTTGATCCAACTTTGATGTAATGTCCTTAAAACAAGTCAAAATGAGGCTCAGTAGTGTGTGTGGCCTCCATGTGCCCGTATGATCTCCCTACAATGCCTGGGCATGCTCCTGATGAGGTGGTGGATGGTCTCCTGAGGGATCTCCTCCCACACCTGGACTAAAGCATCCCCCAACTCTTGGACAGTCTGTGGTGCAATGTGGCGTTGATGGATGGACCGAGACATGATGTCCCAGATGTGCTCAATTGGATTCAGGTCTAGGGAACAGGCGGGCCAGTCCATAGCATCAATGCCTTCATCTTGCAGGAACTGCTGACACATTCCAGCCACACGAGGTCCAGCATTGTCGTGCATTAGGAGGAACCCAGGGCCAACCGCACCAGCATATGGTCTCATAAGAGGTCTGAGGATCTCATCTCGGTACCTAATGGCAGTCAGGCTACCTCTGGCGAGCACATGGAGGGCTGTGTGGCCCCCTAAAGAAATGCCACCCCACTCCATTACTGACCCACTGCCAAAACGGTCATGCTGGAGGATGTTGCAGGCAGCAGAACGTACTCCACAGCGTTTCCAGACCTTGTCACATCTGTCACATGTGCTCAGTGTGAACCTGCTTTCATCTGTGAAGAGCACAGGGAGCCAGTGGCGAATTTGCCAATCTTGGTGTTCTCTGGCAAATGCCAAACGTCCTGCACGGTGTTGGGCTGTAAGCACAACCCCTACCTGTGGACGTCTGGCCCTCATACCACCCTCATGGAGTCTGTTTCTGACCATTTGAGCAGCCACATGCACATTTGTGGCCCGCTGGAGGTCATTTTGCAGTGCTCTGGCAGTGCTCCTCCTGTCCCTCCTTGCACAAAGGCGGAGGTAGCAGTCCTGATGCTGGGTTGTTGCCCTCCTACGGCCTCCTCCACATCTCCTGATGTACTGGCCTGTCTCCTGGTAGTGCCTCCATGCTCTGTACACTACGCTGACAGACACAGCAAACCTTCTTGGCACAGCTCGCATTGATGTGCCATCCTGGATGAGCTGCACTACCTGAGCCACTTGTGTGGGTTGTAGACTCCGTCTCATGCTACCACTTTGTATTGGGTATGTCTTGCTAACTGCCTATGCTTTCTACCTGTTGTCTATTCCATTTGCACAACAGCATGTGAAATTGATTGTCAATCAGTATTGCTACCTAAGTGGACAGCTTGATTTCACAGAAGTGTGATTGACTTGGAGTTACATTGTGTTTTTAAGTATTCCCTTTATTGTTTTGAGCAGTGTATGAACTAAGATGAAAGCTTGAGTATAAGATTTAAAATACAGTATTTTAAATTTAAAGAAAAAAACATGATACATGAATGTGAATTGTTTAGATCTTGTAATAGAAGTGAGAGAACAATTATCCTCAGGGTATAATGAAATTTATTTATCAAATCTATTTATCAAATTTCTAAAACCAGAATACAGACTATGCTCTATATTTAGTGGCTAATGATGGTGATTGAGTAGAAGAGTATCATTTGTTCCAATAAACTTAATGTTGAATGTGTTTGCATTTTTTGGTTTTTATGCAAATATAAATTTATATAAAAAGGTATATAATAAACACAAAAAAACATTAGTTGGGTGCATCTATAATAGCATATGCTGTTTAAATAAAAAGAAGAAAATTAAATAGCATAAATCAGTATAAATCATGGCAAATTTAAGACTTATGGACTTTAGCTCCCAGAATTCACTAGCCAGCTTTGGGAATTGAAGTCCACAAGTCTTAAATTTGCCACTCCTGGTATAAAATGAAAACCTCAGTGAGAGAGAAAAATTGGGTTGAGATAAATTAAACAAAACTCCACTTGCTTAATTAATATTTTCTTGGAGATGTATTCTCAAGGGATCCTGATAGTATTATTTTGTGTTACATTATGAATTGTCTGTTTATATATTTCTAAAAGCATACAGGTTAAAAATGAAATGAGGTACTTCATGGATTTGGAAATTTTTTGAAATAAAATATTTTACATTCATGTTTTGTAGCTTTCTTTTTTATATTATGCTTAATTTAATTACTCTTTAAAAAAAGCTTTTTATCAAGAATGAGTTATATATAATTTATGAAGATTTTGTTGTTACTTATTTATTTTGTATTGCATTTTTCTTTCCATGTGTTGGATTTTGGGTGCCAGTGAAAAAATATAACAGCTGTCATTAAACATGGGACCAAATTGCTGTGGGGTGGTGGATGACATTTTTCTAAATACCACATTTCATTTGTTATTTCATCCTTTCCATCATGTAGCAAAATTGTTTCATGGATTTTCTTGATTGTTTCCAACCCCACTAAGCTACTTTTATTTGTAGTAGCTTTCTGCTTTTTGTATTTGTCATTAGAATTGTAGCCAATTCATTTCATCCCTGAAACTGGGCTTTACTGGTCCATGGGGGTGGTATGTTTTACATTTCGGTGTTGTTATTTTATATGTAACTTTTTTCAGGCTTTCAATCTCTATTCTACATACCTCTATGATAAATCTGGATTATGTTTTTTTTCTGTAATCATAAATTCATTTCTCCTTATTAGTTTCCTGATTGATTATCTTTCTGTGTCTTCCTTTTTTTTCTTTGTCTTGTGCTGACTAACAAATACTCTTTGTCACCTGTGTGATATTCTCTGTTATGTCTTTGTTCTACAACTTCTGGTTTTCTGCCCCTTCCATCTTTGTTACCTTTTGGTGTTGGTCGTTATGTGCATTCTCCAGGCTAGCATTGGATAACACCATTCGACACAAGCAGTTGAACATATCATCCCGTTTTTCACCCAGGGTGGCAGGGGAGAATGATTTTCTTCAGACTGTAATAAACAAAGTGATTGCTGCTAAAGAAGTTAACCATAAGGGTCAAGGTAGGTATTTTCCTT